CCCTTCTTCTCTGCTGTGTCTGGGCCAGTCAACACTGGACTGTAATCTTGGTTTCCTTTCATTGCTATGTTTTGTTTCTGGGAGTGGTGTTCAAAGAACTTCTCTACTGGAGTTTTCTCTTTCTCTCTCTCTCTCTCTCTCTCTCTCTCTCTCTCTCTTTCTCTCTCTCTCTCTCTCTCTCTCTCTATATATATATATATATATATATATGTATGTATGTATGTATGTATGTATGTATGTATATAGTTTTTCTTGTAGTGTCTGGGGATCTGGAGTCCTTACTAGGCAGATTCTAAAGGTAATCTCCTATAGTGCATATTTCACCGGTGAATAAGTGCATTCAAACGATCCTTTCCCAGGCGGTATTACTCTCTGACCTAGGACACCAAACAGTGACTTCTTCGAATGGCATTTGGTGTGTGTACACTGACTCTGGCTTGGTTTTAATCGCTTTGATCACACCTCTGTCTGAAAAAGCAGCTCCCCGTTAAAAAGGCAGCCCCGTGACGAAGTGGCTCCAGCCTGCCACGGGAGAGTCCCTCAGGCCGTGTAAGATGAGACCGCGCCGGGCACAGGTGCAGTGGGCCAGGTCCGCGCGCTGCATTTCTGCAAACTCTCCAGCCATCCCCCGTCGTCCCCCGTGTGGCCCGGTGGAGAGGGCACTCCTGCGGAATTTCGGAAACTTGAGCCGGACTTCTGCCGCTAATTAGCAATTTTGGGGTTTTGGCAAGGCGCCCTCAGCCACTCGTGACTCAGTTTCCTTGTCTTCTCCGCGAGTTAGTCGGTCTAGCAGAATGTGATGTTTTAGGCCCGTCGCTCCACACGTCCCTGAAAATCCAGTCGCTCTGCAGCAGTTTCTGCTCCAGCTCTGTGGTCGCATCGGTGGTCAGGCAAAGAAGGAGACCTTCTGAGCTGTTGCTCTTCTCAGAAGAAACTACTAGTTGCCTGGTTTATTTTTGTCCAGGAAAAGATTCAAGTAGCACAGTTACATATTCAGTGAAGGGAAAAAAAAAAAATTCTCTCAGCGACCGTTCATTTCATTTGAAGGACTCCATGGCATGCACCCCTGGTCTGTCCTATGGGGGGTGGGGGGGTGGGGGGGTAATGGGGCTGTCCTGTAGGCAGTATATTTGCTACAGCTCTTATGTAAGTCAATATTAATTTTGCGTGGATATATTTTCAGAGCTTCACCCTGCTCGCTGAGGTCACGTCAGACAGTATTAGATGTTGGCCTGCCCCAGGCTGGGAATCCTTGGGGTGAGAAGACGGGAGGAATGTGGCAGAAGTTCCTCAGGGCTGTGCGAGAGGATATTCATATCCTGCCGCCTGTCTGTTGCCCTCTGCAAAACATTACCTTTTATGACGGTGCCGACATAACGTCCACGTCTCCCCCCAGAGATTTGGGCCGGCGTGGCTGTGACGGTGCAGGTCTTGAAAGCGGGAGGCGTTGCTGTCTGGGGTGTGTGTGCCCCCTTGGCTTGTCCTGAGCTGCGATTTGTATCCTCAGGGGCGTTGCAACATCCTCTCTGGGGAATTTAGGTTTCCCGACATCCTCCACCGCAGACTTCTTCCTAGCGTACGCACATTACATGGATATTTTGGGGAATTCCATAACTTATTTCAAAATAATTGGAGGTGCTTAGGGGTGTTTCAAAGAAAGCAGGACGTGATGGAGAAGAGAGGTGAGAGAAGATGGGGAGGTGGGTCAGCGAAAAAATAACTTCCAAAGTCCATATTGTCCTTTTTTTAAAAATCCTATTATATTTTGAGTCCTTTCATATTTTTAAAAGCACGCTTTATGTTTCTTATGTAAGTTATTGGATTTTAATTTAACCAAAGGTCTTTTTTTTTTAAATTACTCATACACACACACACACACACACACACACACACACAGTTTGTTTTCATTGACACAAATCGCCATTCTTTCCCTTTTTACTGCCTTGAAACGTGTAGTGCTTTCACTTCTAGGCTGTTATCATGGGTTGGCTCCGAAAGTTTGTCAATCAGTTAGCCCCAAACCAAGAATTGATTTTCCTGTAGAAAGATGTTCCAATTGGTGCTTGAGTTCTGAGCTGCGAGATTCCCAGCTGCTTGCTCAACAGCGGGGTCCTGAGGCTCCTGGTCAGACCCTGCGGGAGGGAGGGCCTCAGGCTTTGTGGCTGAGGCCGAGCTCCTAGGACCAGGGCCTCGAGGATGCTGCTGGGCTCTTTCCCAGAAACCGCCTGCAGGTCCCCGCGGTCACCCCCTGAGTCAGTTAAAGCAATTAGTCTGGTTCATTCTTGGTTAGGAGCGATGACCAGTAAGGGATGCTTAAGGCAAATGGGAAGATAGGCGAGGAGGAGGTGGGCAGTCTCATATGAGAGGTTGACCTTTGAACACAAGATCCAAGGTCACTCTGCTTCTAGAAAGATGGGTCATGCCTGTCCCCGATCCCTTACTGTAAGGATCCCCCGAGGATTAATAGCTCATTTGCCTTCTGTAAGCTCTTAATCTCCGCATACCTCTGATTGAGTCTTAAAAGTCAGAATAATTTTCAGTATTTGGTATGTAGTCCACTTCTGCTCACCCTTGCAATAAAAAACACACACACAATAATAATCTTGCGTTGATGTTTCCCTGCTTCTTACCAGGCATAGTGGCTGCATTTTAAATGGAATGGATAGAACCTGCAACTTTACTACATTTTAAATGCGAAATTGTACATGAAATCATTAAAAATATGGTGGCATTTACTTTCACAATTGGGTTTCTTTGTTTACTATAATAGTAAAGTTTTTACAGCTTTCTTGCTAGTTTTTTTTTTTTTTTTCCCCCCCTGGTTGTCTTCACTTATACTTTTCCAGTCCTTCAGTTAAAATCGCCCAGAATCTTGCTACTCTGGCTGAGTGGAGCATCATCCTCACACCAAAAGGCGGTAGTCAGGACACATACCTAAGCTGTGGGCTCAATCCCTGGTTGGGGAACGTATAGGATCTCTGTCTCTGTCTCTGTCTCTCTCTCAAGTCAGTAAGCCTATCCTTGGGTGAGGATAAAAAAAGAAAAATAAAATAGCCTGAGTCTGCTAACTGCTCTCTCTAGGCAACCCCCTCCATTTCGCACCGTTTGTGTTTTGGACTCAAAGAATGTTAACTTTGCCCCCCCCCCCCCCCCCCCCCCCAAATGCTGGTTTAAGCCAAACGCAGTTAGGAAAGCGAGCTTGTTTCAGAACCCAATGTAAACATCCATTGCATGTGTGTCCTTTGGTTCCATTTTCCTGGTCTGGATGTTTATATTCTGCCCGTTCCTTTTCTGAACATAGATAACTATTTGAGTCTGCTGAATGAGCTAACTGTTGGTCAGTCACGTGGCAAGTTATCTTTCTTGAAAAGGGGCTGCCGGTTTAGTCAACAGTTTGCCTTGGTAGCGATGGAACCAGGTCCCCACATGGGCCGTTCGGTATCTTATTAGAGCTGCGTATGCATCTTTAATAGGCTACATTACTGGTCTCATCCTGGCGGGGATCTAAGAAGCTTCTGATTTCTATTTTCTTGCAAATTAAATGAAAACCAACAAGAGACTCAAAGCCTGGTTTTAGACACCTCTGGCAACCGGTGTGAAGAGCAGACAGAGGCCCAGTATTGCCCAAACTTTCTTGATTGTCCGTTTGCCTCTCTTACTAGGTTTCTTATCGAACTCTTCTTGCTCTCTCTTGTGCCTCCTTATTCACAGTCATCAGTTTTGTCTTTAGGCATGTTTTTCTCACCAGGCAGGGATGGGCTGTTTTAATGATATTAGTTGTGTTGTTTAGAAAGTTCTTTCCTATGCCTGGGCCAGGGTAGGGGGCCGAGAAGTCCTTTTTGTCACTGCCTGTGGGATTGTCACCTACATTATAAAAACAGCACACTTGGTATGCATGTCTATGGGAGGTCTTTTTATTCATGCTGTTAACATGCCATGTGTACCAATTACCTTGTGTGATCCATGCCTTTTATTATTTTATTTTCTAAATATATATATTTTTAATGATTTCAGAGAGGGAGAGGGAGACAGAGAGAAACATCAATGATGAGAGAGAATCATTGATCAGCTGCCTCCTGCACGCCCCCTAGTGGGGATAGAGCCTGCAACTCAGGCATGTGCCCTGACCGGGAATCAAACCGTGACCTCCTGGTTCACAGGTCGACACGCAACCACCGAGCCACACCTGCCAGGATGATTCATTCATGCTTTTTAAACAAAAGTTTTTTTTTTTTTAAATGCATCTAGCTGCTTCCTTATTTATTTTTCTTTATAACCTCCCCCCATTGTGCTTATTTTTTATTTTTTTTTAACTGTCACTTCCAAAGATCAATTTTGTTTTCTACGTAGGAGAACAGATTCCTCTCTCCCTGCAGTTCCTCCCGTGCAGTGGCACGTGGGCCCTGCAGCCACTGGGAGTGTGTTTTGTTTCCTCCTTGGCCTTACCAACAGCATGGGAAGGCCTGTCGCCTCTTTAAAGAGGCAGGAGCCTGGGCTCACCCACCCTGTAGGCCAGGTGGGCAGGAAACAATGCTTATGACATTCTTTTCATCGGCTCCATGTGTGACCTCCCCGCAGGAGGTCAGGCAATAAAACATTTGAGTGAACTGCTGAAATGTTTTGTATTTATTTACAAGACTCGTAATCACAAGACTGATCCCAATAAACTCGACAAGTCACAGTGATGGAGGAAAGTCTATGAGGCGTGCAGAGCAGTCAGCGAGGGGGCTGGGGGCCTTTGGATTACACTGGGCATGCCCTCCTGTCCCCACCGTGGAGAGGCCGTCAGCAATTCTGGGGCAGGTCCTGGGTGTCCGGTGAGGAGTGGGAGGACACTGGATCTGTCCTCACCTGCCGCTGAGCTGCTGGACGCTCTGCTTTTACCGTCCAGGCAGCCCCAGTGTTTGACTTCTGTTTTGCTGAAGATTCTCAGTTCTTCTTTAACTGTTCTCTTCCGCCATGCCCAGTGGATTCCGAGTTTTCTGTGGTATTGGAGTGGATGATTGCATTGCCTATCACGGCCTGATGTAAAGCAAAAGCATTCTCGTACCTTCTACGTTTTGTCATTTTTATTGTCACTGAATTTTTGTTGTTAATCCTCATCTGAGGATATTTTTCCCATTTATTTTTTAGAGAGAGTGTAGGGAGCCGGGGGGAGGGGGGGAGGAATGGAGGGAGAGAGAATGAGAGAGAGAGACAGAGAGACAGAGAGACATTGATGCAACCCAGGTACGTGCCTATGACTAAGAATCGAACCTTTGACTTTTTGTTGTTCGAGCCAACGCTCTAACCGCTGAGACACACCAGCCAGAGCAGAATCAGATCATTTAAATCAATGGTGAGGGCTTTGATATAGGAACACAGTTGTAGTGCTGTAGAAACATGCTTTCCTCTATCTAGCTTCTTCAGGGATTTTTTCTTTCTTTCTTTTAAAAGTAAAGCACTCATCTAATTAGGGAGGTAGTTTAAAACCAACAGTTCTGGAATATAAAAGAGTGCTTAGGGCAGACATTCTTGGGACATTTTTGCCAGGTTACCTTTTGTTTTGTTGTTTGAAGGTAAAGACCTACCACATTTTGTAGTTCAGCTTTATAATTTTGTCTCTATGTAGTTTCTGTTTTGCCGAATTTAACGTTACTTAAAATAAAATGAATAGCTATTGTGTTTAGACATAGAGGCAATAACGGACGACTCCACCCGTCCTTATTCTCTTGCTTGGACCCAGCTGACCCAACGGTCCAGTGGGATTTTGGATAGTTTCTCTTGAGCCCTCAGCTCAACAGAACCCATTAGAAATTCATTTTTGGAGATTCGGCCTCTCTGTGTAGATACATTACTTACTTGGTCATCATCTACTGTTTTTCATTCTTTGTGAAATGCATCATTTACCACAATGGATGATGCAGGATAATAATATTCTAGGCCAAAAAAAAAAAGAAAAAAAAGAAGCATATATTGGGAACCGTTAGTGTAATACAACATTTAACCCTCTCAATGCCCACAGTGAATGAAGAAGTGAAATAAAGTATGGTTGCTCTGGAAAATAACTCACCCCATTCTAATGAAGGTTGTCTTGAACCTACCGAGGAGGTGTCTCTTGTTAGTACTGGGGAGCAGAGACGAGTGGTGTTGAGAGGCTGGAGTCACATTTTCCCTGGGGAGAAATGGCTCTAACACAGCTGCCCGATGTGGTGCTTCCTCCCCCCCCACATGACAGTGAATTCATCCTTGGGGAAAGAAGTCCATCAGTGCTGGAGTTTCAATACCCAGTTCCATCTTTTTTTTTTTTTTTTAATATATTTTTTTACAGAGAGGAAGAGAAAGTTAGAAACATTGATGGGAAAGAAACATGGATCAGCTGCCTCTTGCATACCTCCTACTGGGAATGTGCCTGCAACCAAGGTACATGCCCTTGACCGGAATCGAACCTGGGACCTTTCAGTCCGCAGGCCGACGCTCTATCCACTCAGCCAAACCAGTTAGGGCCCCAGTTCCATCCTTAGACAAACGTTGCAAACTGTGTGCTAGATGGTGTGCAGGCGGTAGCTGAGGGGTCATGAAAAGATACCGAAGCAAGGCCCCATTTTCAGAGGATTTTATTACAAGTTCTTCGTATTTTAGGTCCCCATTTTCTAAAGAAGCCTTTAGTGTGAACTTTACATAGGTTAAGTGTTTCTCTTCCCTCCCCTCTTCCCCCCTGCCTTCAGTTTCTTTTCCTTTCCATTTTATCTCAGAAGAAGGATGCATTTTGCTTTGCTGGGGTGTTTTTGCACATTTGCACTTGTGGTCCCTGGTTACTGCTGTGATAAGGTGCTGAGTGTGGGTGGTTCGCTGGTAGGTCTCTCTTTAGCTATTTCAGCTGTATTATCCTCTTTACATTTGGTGGGTTGGCTTAGCAGCATCTCATGTGTCTTTCTGACTTTAAAAACTGGCCTTCCCATTACTCCTCTTGAAGCAGAGGAGTTACTGGCAGATTCCTAATGGTGGTGTGGACAGTAGAGGAAACGTTCACTTTATTTTTAATTTTTTTAATTTTTCAATTGATTACAGAGAGGAAGGGAGAAGGAGAGAGAGAGAGAACTATCACTGATAAGAGAGAATCCTTGATTGGCTGCCTCCTGCACGCCCCCTACTGGGGATTGAGCTTGCAACTTGGGCACGTGCCCTGACGGGGAATCGAACCCTGACCTTCCTGGTTTATAGGTTGATGCTCAACCACTTAGCTACACTGGCAGGGCAACAAACAAACAAACAACAACAAAAAAAACCTCCTCTTGACTTTGTTGGGTTTTGATTGTTTTCAGCTGGAAATAACCTGCATGCCGGGTGGCACATTCTGGGGGCAGCCGCTCCCAGAACCCCAGGGGACGAAGGAATGGGTGTGAGCTTTCTCTCTGGAAAGATTAGAGTTTGCTTGGATGGGACACTCAGTACCTGCCGGTCTCCCTGCATCTATTTCTTGCATCCAAGAGAGCCCAGTGCTTTCAACACATAAGATTGTCTTCTCTGCTTCCTTCTGACTCTGTCCCCAAAGAAGACAAAGATGCACAGTCCTGGTAGCAGTGTGGACGGCCTGGGTGAGCCTTCACACACACACACACACACACACACACACACACACACACACTCAGCGAAACTGCACTGTATGTTTGTTTTTGCTCCGGTGCTAATCTGGCAAGAATGGTGCCCCACAGGAAAGTCAACATATCCGAATAAATCATCAGTGTTACAGGAATGCCGGGTTTCAGCCGCCGTAATATCTGCCTCGCACACATTTCTCCGTGATGACTCTTTTAAGCTTGTCCCCGGGGGTGAGGGCGGTTGGGAGGGGGACGGGAAGACACGGTTGTCCCGGCAGAGGATGGTCTGAAGTGCTGGGAATTGCTTTTCAGTTTGCAGAACTATCTCAGCTTCTCCCACGGTCAGCATACCCAACGGAAGACATCAGGCAGAGGTGATTTCTGCTTGGCGAGTGCGTGGCTTCCCCTGTTCGAGGTGGGTGGGGAAGGAAGGGTGAGGGAACTGCAGAGGTAAATGGCTTCTCCGTGACGGGGCCTGTCTGCTGTGCATGTGCCAATTGAAGGAGATTTTTTCCCCCAGAGAACCTGGGGGTGGGGGTGGAGTGGGTGGGGTGAGTCTGCCTCCTCTGGGCTGCGGTGTACTTCCTGCTTTTATGGCTTGGCAAGAGGGGTTCAGGAGAGCTAGACCCAGGTGCCGGGAGCTTCTCTGAAAAGTTGGATACAGCCCTCTTGATCAGATACGGGACAGAGGCCTACGTGAGAATAGCAGCCCCATGGCACTTTGGCTAAGAAAGCTGTATTTTTGCCAAATGTCCCATTTCCAAGGGAGGCGATAGAGCAACACATGTGTGAGAGAAGGAAGCAAAATCCATTTTGTGGGATTGAAAATGCAATGCACATGATGAACTCAGGTTTTTATAAAAACTCAGTGAAATAGTGTGTGAATTTGTCATTGTCCTCTTTTAAGATTTTAAAATTGATTTTGAGAAACGAAGCAAGAGGGAGAGGGAGAGAAAGAAACATTTAAGTGAGAGCGAAACATCAATCTGTTGCCAAGGTATATGCCCTTGACAGGAATCAAACCTGGGACCTTCCAGTCCGCAGGCCAACGCTCTATCCACTGAGCCAAGCCAGATTCGGCAGATCATTTTTAATTTAAATATATAAATCAGATATACTTAAAAGGTTAAAAATCCCTTTAGTTTGAGTTGGTGTTGGGACCAGCATTCCTGGTGGTTTTTTTTGTTTTTGTTTTATAGGGTTTTTGTTTGTCTTACATTCTTAAAAAAACAACAACACGTGTGGTAAGAAAACAGATCAAAGTTGTTGTTTTAACCGGTTTTTAATGTACATCTCAGTCGTGTTCAAGGAGAACACGACTGAGATGTACAGCGGATCTCCAGAAAGCTTCATTTTGCAGAACTGCAACCGTAAACCCTCGAAACACTAATTTTTCCTCCTACCAGCCCCTGGTACCCGCCCTTCTGCTCCTGTGAATTCGACATAAGTGGAATCATACAGTGTTTGTCTTTTTGTGACTGGCTTATTTCACTTACCATACTCCCCCAAGGTTCCTCTACGCTGTAGCATTATCAGAATTCCCTTCCTTCAGAAGGCTGAGTCACATTCCATGGTGAGTAGAGACCCAGTTTTGTTTGTCTGGTCATCTGTCTGGACCCCTTAGGTTGCTTTTACCTCTCGGCTCCTGGGAATAGTGCTGCTGTGAACGTGGTTCGCAAAAACCTCTGTGAGGTCCTGCTTTCAGTTCTTTTGGAAATAGACCCAGAAATGGGATTGCTGAATCAGAAGGCAGCTCTTTTTTTTTGTTTGTTTTGTTTTGGGAACCTCCATACCGTTTTCCATAGCAACTGTATTGTCTGCATTCTCATCAACAGAGTATAAGACTTCCAGTTTCTCCATGTTCTTGCCAAACGCCCCCCTTCCCCCGTTTTTTTTTTTTTAATTAATTAATTAATTAATTAATTTTTAATGCTAGCTATCCTAATGGCTGCGGGGTGGTATCTCATTGGGGCTTTGGTTTTGATTTCTCCAATGACGAGTGATGTTGAGCATCTTTTCAGGTGCTTCTGCAGGCCGTTGTTTTATATTTTTCTACTTAGTAGCTATAAATCTGGGAGCTTTCAAGCGTTGTAAGAGTGTACTTCCTGGTATTGCCTTGGGTCACATGGGAGAATATTCCCGCACAGAGACACAAGAGCTTACCTTACCGAGCCAGCCTAAGCCGAGGCTCCATCAGAGAAACCGGGCGCTGGGGCACGCACCCTCGCTTCTGGCTGTCACCGCTCGGAGGACGTAGCCGCGGACCTGCTGTGTCCTGGCCTGTGTTCGGAGCTCCCCAGGTAAAGCACGGGCCCATGGAGAGGATCTCTGGCTGTTTGTCCCGTGTCGAAGGGCCACTTTTCATCCCGACAGCACTGTGCTGTGGACTGCGATTAAGCTTTTTGAGGGGAGGTGGTGGAGGGCGAGGGAGGTGGGGAAGGAAAAGGTGAAGTGACTGAGCTTTTTCCCTGAATGCTGAACCGTCTCACAGTGGCAGAGCTGAATGCACCTGGGGAGGATGGATAAGCTAAAGCTAGCCATATAAGAGAAGTAGGTAAATGATCCTTTTCCCCTACTTTGTTATTAGATAATCTCCCCACTATGTTATTAGATAATCAACCTACTATGTTATTAGGTAACTAGAGGCCTAGTGCGTGAAATTTGTACATGGGCAGGGTCCCTAGCAGGAGGAAGGGAGGGACTGCAGGTGATTGGCAGGCCGGCCACACCTCCTGGCCGAGCTCCAGGGTCAAGGGGACAATTTGCATATTAGGCTTTTATTATACAGGACACTGACTGGAACAAAAGAGAGTTGGTTGAATCAGTCTGGTGACAATAAGGGCAATGTCTAAAACCCTCAGATCCTGGAGAAGAGTTCATTTAACTCAGTGACAGTGAATGAGTAGTTTCAGGGTTAAGAAGTGTTCTGCCTCACCTCCACACACACCACACCCCCCCCCTGACAATTTCATTCTAGGATTTAATATTCTAGGGTGCACCCCTGTGGACTCAGGATTCATTAAAAAAAAAAAGGGTGTCCATGTTGGGGTCTTGCCCTCCCGATGTCCTTTTCTGAGAGCGCATTCATGGGGCCTGACCACAGCTGCGGTCTCAGAGACAAGGCATTCCTGCCTCTTCCGGGTCTGGGAGGGACTGTCTGGGCTCTGGTGAGCCAGCCGGTTAATGGTTAACTCCTACAACACGCCAGACATAACACCTAATCTTTTGATGAGCCCTGCTGCTCAGAATGAATAATGGTTAACCATTCCTTACCTCTGACTAAGCGGCCCGTATACCTTCCATAGTTTGTTCTCTTCAATAGCTGACTCTGTGAAGGACTTCTTTTTTTTCTTCTTCTTTTGTAAATAGCATTTCCATAGCACAGACGTCTTATGACTCAGTCCTTGCCTAGGAGCAGGTGGTGTCCCTGAATAGTTTGCCACCTTATAAGGATGAGTAGAATAATTCTACCCGTTTTTCATATAGTAGCTCTCTCCCAGCTGTGTGGTGAGAGGCCAGCCAATATGAAATAGCCTCTTCCTCAGTGCAAATACCCTGTTTCCCCGAAAATAAAACAGTGTCTTATATTAATTTTTGCTCCCAAAGATGCGCTAGGCCTTATTTTCAGGGGATGTCTTATTTTTCCATGAAGAGGAATACGGTACACATTTATTGTTAAATGAAAATAAAGGAAATTTATTACCTGTATACGGTACGGTAGTACGGTAGTTGTCAACACAAACCAGACAAACTGTGAATCCTACAGTATCAAGAATTTACCCATTTATTCAATGACAATCATGTCATCATCTTCTGGAACATCATCATAACAATCCAATTCCTGAATTTCCTGGTGAATTTCTCGTGACTCCATTTCTTTCAGAATCAATGGACCAAATCCCTCATGTTTTCGGAGGATGTCTTATTTTTGGGGAAACATGGTATATATGAAAAGACAACTAGTGCTCTTTGTTAGCAGAAGAGTCTTTTTAAATTAAAAAATAAAATTGATGGATGTTAGATAGAGAGGAAGAGAGGGACAGAGAGAGAGACAGATTTGTCGTTCCACTTATTTATGCATTCATTGGTTGACTCTTACATGTGCCCTGACCGGGGATTGAACCCGAAACCTTGCCCGTATCAGGCGATGCTCTAACCAACTGAGCCACACTGGCCAGGGCCGAAGGGCCTTGCTACAAGTCTGCTGAGCTGCATGTGACCGAGATTTTCTTCTTTATGAGAACAGTCCTCCGGGCTGGAAAAAGATAAAAAAAAAAAAAAATCAAATCAAACAAAGGAAGCAAAGACAGATTCGAGACTCCCTCCCCTCACAGGGGCTGTCTCGAGCTGGAGCATGGCCAGTGACCCGGGGGCCCCCTCGGAGGACGCAACCACCTCACTGTGGGGTACAGAGCTGGGCCCCCGGGGAGAGTGCCGCACGCCTGCAGGTGCAGCCTCAGGCTCACCATTGTTAGGGCCAAGGGAAGCCATTGGAGCTCTTGCCCAATTTAGGGACTTTTCTATAAACATTCGAAATAGCCTTTCTGTCATTAAAAAAAGAGAGCTTGGCTGGAAATTAGTGTTTGCAGTTCTGAGAGGTGTGTCCCTCAGGGCTTCAATGCTTTCACACGTTATCAGGGTCCCGCTTCCTTCCTCGGTAATCTGGGCAAGCAGTTGTTCTCGGTTTCCTTTCTCCGTAGAATCTGTCTGCTGTCTAGGCGGAGGGTGGCTGGCTGGCACGGCCGGTGTCTCTCTGGAGAGCTCATTGTAACTCTGGTCTGTACTGACGGTTGGATCTGGGTTGGAGCATTTCTTGCTTATTACAATCTCTTAAGTTAAAAAAAAGAAAAAGACTGGGCTCTTTTTTTTTTTTTTAAAATATATATTTTATTGATTTTTTTACAGAGAGGAAGAGAGAGGGAGAGAGTTAGAAACATTGCTGAGAGAGAAACATCGATCAGCTGCCTCCTGTACACTTGCTCCCCACTGGGGATGTGTCCTCAACCAAGGTACATGCCCTTGACCGGAATCGAACCTGAGACCCTGGAGTCCGCAGGCCAACGCTCTATCCACTGAGCCAAACCGGTTAGGGCTTTTTTTTCTTCTTTTTTTTTCTCTTTTTTGTAGTGAGGGTTTTCCAGAAAGTTCTGAGGGCTGGCTGCATCTCCCATTCAGGCTTTGGCTCTGTGCATGGGCTGGCATCCTCACCTCTCCTCAGACACTGCCTTGGGCAAGGGGCCAGGCATAGTTGTGTCTTTATCTTACTTGACTTTCCTTTGGAATGTGACATTGACCATGGCCTCCTCCTGGAAGTTACCTTCTGGGCGCCCCCCTCCCCCCTGATGTTCCTCCTCCTCCTCCTCCTCCCCTGGGTGTTCCTCTTCACTGTCCTTTGTGGGTGCTCTTTCACTGCTGGATGCAGGCGAGGTCTAGCGTCTGACTCCATGCCTTCCTGACACTTTTCTCGGGGGCGTTCATCTGTAACTCAGACCCCTCTCTCTCCAGGGCCCCCACATTCCGGCTGCCTACTGGGTGTTCCATGCAGTGGACCGCAGATATCTGAACCTCAGAATATGCCACAAGCAGAATTCATTTCATTTCCTTGCAGACCAGTCTCTGTTCCTGCATTCCCTGCCTCGGTGACTGTGTCCCCTCCTACCCAGTTAAAGAACCGGGGGGAGGGGGGGGGCTTGAGGCAACCAAATAAACTTCTCGTTCTTCTTCACGTTTCTTTTGTTTCTTTCTTCCTTCCTTTCTTCCTTTCTTCCTTCCTTCCTTTCTTTCTTTCTTTTAAAAAATATATTTTATTGATTTTTAACAGAGATGAATAGAGAGGGATGGAGAGTTAGAAACATAGATGAGAGAGAATCATCGATCAGCTGCCTCTTGCACACCCTCTACTGGGGATGTGCCCGCAACCAAGGTACATGCCCCTGACCGGAATCGAGCCTGGGGCGTTTCAGTCCACAAGCCGACGCTCTATCCACTGAGCCAAACCGGTTTCGGCATTCTTCACGTTTCTTATCCCATAAGCACCAAGCCCGTTTCCTCACTGTGAGGTCCCTGCTTTCCCCCTAGTCCAAGCCAATCCCACTGTCCTTCAGAGTCCGTACGTCCTTACCTCCCGCGGAAGGAATCCCCAGGATTCCGTCCTAGCCCCTCGTCCTGGGGTTTAATACCTGTCGATCCGAACTTGGTTGAGTTTAGCTGTGGCCAAGCTCATGCTGTAGTTTCCCCAGGGCTGGCAGAGGGGGACCGTGGAGATGTGCCATGTGCTGGCAGTGCCCGAGGACACTTCTGTGGCTGATGGGTGTGCTGCCCTTTTTGTGCAGAGGCGGGGCTGGGGCATCCGCTGCGGGCTTGCTGGCCCCGAAAGCCATTTCTGTCATTTGTTTCGCGTTGGATATGTCATGGGAAGGTGACAGAGGGCGGGAGGGAAGAACACTGACTTCAGAACTCTGCCCTGAGGACTGGACTAGGAAAGAAGAATGCACGAGAAACACCCAAGAAGAGATGGTTCTTGATAATGGGAGGTTTGGGGCGACCACCCGGGGGCTGGGCTAGGTGCTTGGATGGGACAGGGACAGAAAGGCTCCGTGTCCGGCTCAGTGGCCATCGGCTGAAGTGACAGTCCTCGCCTACTCTCTGACTCCCCAGTGCGGCGTGAAGGCCGGTCTCCTCAGAGGCGGTGCTCAGAGGCAGCTGCTTTTGGTCCATAATGTCAGTTGGGAGACTTTTCTTTAGTCTTAAGTGGACTTTGCCGTTTTTGTAACTAGTGGGGAAGAGTCGGGAAACGGTGACGTCCTTGTAATGACCAAGTCCTGGTTCTACAGTTTGGAGAAGGAACCTGAGTGTCTTTTTTCTCATACACCCCCCATCACCAGGAGATGCTGTGCACAGAATGGTTTGAGTCCTGGGGAGCAGTTGCTCCAGACTTGTCCTTACTGTGGAAGCTCAGAGACTCACCTGTGAGATAACATAACTAAATAGACATAAGGCCAACCAGCCCTGGCCAGGTAATGCAGTTGGTTAAAGCAGTGGTCGGCAAACTCATTAATGTCAACAGAGCCAAATATCAACAGTACAATGATTGAAATTTCTTTTGAGAGCCACATTTTTTAAACTTCTTCTAACTCCACTTCTTCAAAATATACTCACCCAGGCCGTGGTATTTTGTGGAAGAGCCACACTCAAGGGGCCAAAGAGCTGCATGTGGCTCGCGAGCCATGGTTTGCTGACCACTGGGTTTATAGCATTAGCCCCATATGCCAAGGTTGCAGGTCTGAAATCTGGTCAGGGCACACAAGAATCAACCAATGAATGCACAAATAGGTGGAACAACAAACTGATGTCTGTCTCTCTCTCTCTCTTTCTCTCTCTCTCTCAAAGTAATACATAAATGTTTTTAAAAAGGCATAAGGCAAAACTTAACGGAGTAGTTGCAGTCATGTACGTTTGCTACCGGACAGGTAGAAATATTTCCTATGCAGGTAGGTAAAAGAAAAACGACTCCTAAATTATTGCTGGTGTTCATCTGTGCTCTTCTGCAGCTAAATATGTCTCGTGATTTTCTCTGATTGCCCCAAGGGGTTGTTCGCAGGCCGGCATTACCCTAGCAGGGTCAGGAGAGCACACGGCAAAAGTGTGGCACTGGGTGCCGAGAGAGGGAAGAACCAGCCCCGGAGAGCTGGTGGCAATGGAACTGCCCCGAGCGGAGATTTGAAGTGAAAATGGACCACTCGTTTTGGTGTCTCTGTTTTTTTAAACCCCGTTTTTAAAGTTTATCTTGTCCTGCACACACACACCTGCACATTGGAGATAAGAATGGACGAAGGGCCGCTGATGACAAATGCGTGGCTGTGTTTGAATAAGGTTCTCTGTCCTGATTGCTGAGCGGGGTCCAGGTGCCGGGCCTGGGCTGTCTGTCAGTGTCTTTCCCACCCCAGGCCCGACGCAGCGTGTGCTTAGGCAGATTACATGTCACAGGAGGTTACTTTGAGGACTTAATGAGCAGGACTCAGAAGAAACGGTTGTCATAGTAAACACTGGTCGTGCCATTTCGTTGCACATTTTTTATTGTTCGCTTTCTAACAGAATTGTATTTAAATGTTACTTTGCATGGCATGTTTCTTCGAGTATAAACTAATATTACGATTTTCATAACTTGGGTTTAACACCCAAGATTCTCCCCCTTGGATTTTGTCTTTTTGTTTGGAGCTTTCTTTTGAGATGCTTTTGTGTACTTTTGTAGGGTTAGGCTGCTAATGTATATATTATCAGTAACCTAGACTAAGGTTTTTTAAAGTTAGAAATTTGAGCAGCTGATTTAATTATTCTGTAATCTTTGAAACCTTAGAGGGAAATCTGGTTACATCCTATGCAAATAATTGGTAGGAGCCGAGTTGTTCAGCCACCAGGTTTTAATGTCCAGGAACTTGATGGCATCCACAAAGCAGGCTGGACGGCTGAGTCTCACCACTTCTATTTCATTTATGTTTTTCATATATATTTTCTGTTATTTTTTAAAATGTTTTTATTGATTTCATAGGAAGGGAGAGGGAGAGAGAAATGTCAATGATGAGAGAGAATCATCGATTGCCTCCTGCACGCCCCCTACTGGGGATTAAGCCCACAACCCAGGCATGTGTCCTGGCAGGGAATCAAACCAGTGACCCTTTGGTTCATGGATCGATGCTCAACCACTGAGCCACACACTGGAATTGTCACTCATGGCCTGAAATGCCACACAGGAGTTGCTGCCAGAAACACTCACATGGAGATCCAGTTGCCCTTTCGCCTCCTCAGGTGACTGGTCCAGATGTGTCACCAGGAGCAAGATTCCCTGTGGGAAATGTAGTGGCTTTGGAAGTTGAGTTTCATGTGACGTGAAGGGTGTTTCTATATTCAGAGACATCAAACAAAGCTGAGTATTATTTTCTTTTTTAGGAGTTGTCTCATAGGCATTTTTAGAACATTTATCCTTAAATTAGAAATAATACAACAACTTTGCAGATTAACATTTTAAAAAAATTACCGTTACTTGAACTTTGGCAGACTTTCTGAGTTCACGTAAATGGATAAATTTTCTCTGTAAAATGCTGGCTTTGAAGTATTCTTTTGAGGGCAGAGATAAAATGTATTCAACTTAAACTTTTAAGTTAAGTTTATTTTTTGCTTGAGTAGGTGAAAGGTGAATATGATACAGAATTTAAAAAGTACACAAGAGCCAGTGCACTGAAAGATTGCTGGTTCTATACCTGGTTGAGGCACATGCCTGGGTTGTGTCTTTGGTCTCCAGTCCATTGGGTTGTGTGCAAAGGGCTACTGATTGATGTATCCCTCTCACATTGATGAGTCTCTCTATTCCTCCCTCCCTCCCTCTCCTCTTTTCCTTCCCTCTCTCCCTTTCCCTCCCTCCCCACTCTCTAAGAGTGTCCTCAGTGAGGATTGAAATAAAACACACCAAGATTATACAATAGAAAGTCTTCATTCCACCCTCAGGTCCCCTCTTCCCTAAGGATTGTAAGCAGTTTGTAAGTTAGTCTTCCAGAACTATTCTGTGTCTATATACACCCCTGCCCTCGCTTTTCCGCACATCTAGTACATACGCCACTCCTGTTCTCTGTCAGTATTGCCTCTTATCCCAGAAGCCATTTATTTCAGTGTATAAAAGGCCTCCTTGTTCATTTTTCTCTTACTAGTGTGTGCATGTGCCATTATTGACCGTCTTCTGTAAGGAGCTTTTAAGTTGTTCCTGGGTTCTGTAATGACCAATAATTTTTTTCATACACGTAAGAGTGTTAAAATAAATTTCCAGAAGTAGAATTGCTAGGTTAAAGGCATTTGCCCTTGTGATTTTAATAGATATTGCCAAATGGCTTGCCATGGGAGTTATACCACCAGCAATGTATTGGGGGACAAGGTAGACTATTGGCTCTGAAGTCTTTCTCTTGGGGGTGGGAGTTAGAGAATTTGAAAATATTCAGGTAATTTGAATATATATATATGTGTGTATATATATATATATATATATATATATATATATACTATTATATAATGTATACGTATTTAATTATACTTTGATCAATATTTCCTCATTGTGTAGTCATATTGCCGAATTCTTTGGAAGCTGGGTGTTTAAGTGGCTCGATGTTTACAACATCGAGAGCTATCTGTCAGATTGTGAAAAGGTGAACAAGGAGGTCATTTGAGGAGCTTTTGGATTCGTGTCCTCCCTTTCCGTCTATGCTTCTCAGAATTCTTTAGGATTCAGCTCGGTGTTGCCTTCTTCCGTGGAACCTGTAATCAGTCTAGCTCTTGTTGGCGGGGGACACATTTGCACCCGTCCTCAGCTCCATGCTCTCACTAAAAGGGATCTGTGTCATGCTTGTGAGCCACGTCGGGAGACCAGATGTTAGAGCGGTTTTAACTCCTCTCTCTTTGCCCTGTGATTTTCCTCTAGTTCTTGGGACAGAAACAATATAAGGTTCAATAAATGCTATTTTCTCAAATTTCTAAAAGCCCTCTCAAGTACTTCATTATAACAGTTTATTTTTTAGAGCAGGGAAGTAATAATGACCATTGTAGGAAACTGTAAAAAAATATAGAAAATTTTATATAGCAACAAATAAACGTCATCCGGCATTTCGCCTTCTAGAGATCATCACCTCATCAGTTCTTTTGGCCTTTTCTCTCTCTGTGTGTAATTAAATTGGGAACAACATGTCAATGCAGTTTTATAGTCTCTCCTTGTCGCCCTGCCAGCAGTTGACAGTTTGAGTATGTCCTCCCAGAGCTTTTCCTGTGCACGTCATGCGTAATGTGAAGTGTAAAGAAAGTTTCAGAAAATAAATTAGAAACTAAATCACGCCAAGCATAAGGCTGCACCTGCTTTTGGCACTCAGTGCTGTGGTCAGCTCCTTGTGTGTGTGTATAGAGCCTGCTTCTTTTCAACGTATGTACCATGTCCCATACAATACCACATCTCCGTGGTATGCGCTTTTTCCTGTTATAATTAAGGCTGAGGTGAACATATTTTTACACAGATACATGTGGTATTTTGGATAGGTTCCAGAAGTGGAGTTACTACGAGTGTAATGAACGGTCATGCATGCCTAAGTTGTGACTAAGGGTAATGTCAAATTTCCCCTTAACAATGTCCTACCTGTGTATATCCCTGTCAATAACATCGTGATATCTTTGTCAGCACTGGAATGATCAGCCTTTTTTAATTAATTTTTTCCTTTTCTTCAATTTGACAGGGAAAAAAGTGGCCTCTTATGCATGTATAATTTACATTTTACTGATAGTGAGGTTGAGTATCTTCATATGCTTCTTAACCCGATGTCTTTCAACTATAAAGTGTCTTTTTTTGTTTTGAAGTTTCTTATTGAATTTTTATGATACTAACTTTTCTGTCTTTTACATATATTGCAAGTATTTTTGTCTCAGGTGGTTGTCTTATAATCAATCCACTTTCCATTGCCTTTAGCTATAGAGGCATTTAAAATTCTGTAATAAAATCTGATAGTATTTAGGAGAGATTTGCATAGCTTCATTTCTTACATTTAGACTGAGCTAGATTGAGAGAATGATTCACTTGTACTATTTCCTTTCCCCTGTAGTTTCATCATGAAGATTGGTATATTTTTGCATAGTATTTTTACGACTTACCAAAGTAGTTTCATATAATAATAGATCAAATTAAAATTGAATGACGGAAGTTTATATGTTGCAGGTGAACTATTTTTTGATGATTTTTCAAATCACTCTCCCGCTTTCATTTAGTTTGGGTTTTCAAATCGTGTTCCCCGGTCACTTCAGGCATCTTAAGACTTGGGTCTGGGGTATCCTGGAAGATGTGCAACTCAGTTCTGCTTTTATTGTAATGTTGCACCTGAAAATGAAGGTGTTTTCCTTTAAAAAGATCCAGAAAACCAGTGATTGGAAGTTTGGGGAGCTGGGCAGGGTTTCCCTGGGGGGTTCCAGTGTGTTGGTGTTGGTCATGTGTGTGGCCAGTGTGCTTTGGGGCTAGAATTCCTTGCCGTGAGGACTTGGGCGGAGCTCCCTGGGCAGGGCTGGGCTAGGCCTCCCTCTCTGTCCAGCCCTATCCTGTTACAGTCAAAATATGTCCCGCAGTCTGACCTTCCGCTCTAGAACACTTTGCACACTATTATTCCCCATTTCCTCTTGGATACCTCTCTCATCTGTACCCTGGGATCTCGTCATACAGAAGCAATAAATACTTCAGAGCATAAATATTTTTGTTAAGAGCTGAAGCACATTTTCTAAGTCTGTGAACACCAGGGAAGTTGAAAAGTACCGAGTACATTTACAAACTAACACCCAGGAATGACAGGGGAGTTTTATTTTTTATGCTTAGAAAAGGAACACGAAGTGTTGTTTATCCGTGGGTGTGAAAAATATATTAAAATAGTGTATCATGACTATATTCAAACACCGTTTTTCTTGCCCCATCTTGTTTTATTAACTTCAGTCTTGTCCTAATACATTTCTCTTGGAGTGGATGAATGTCACATTATTTATTACTAGAGGCCAGTGCATAAAATTTGTGCACTCAGAGGGGAGGGTTCCCTCAGCCTGGCCTGTACCAGGAGCCCTTGGGGGATGTCCAACTGATGGCTTGGGCTTGCTGGGGAGGGAGTCTAAGCCGTCAGTTGGACATCCATAGTGCTACCACGGAGGTAGGAGAGGCTCCCGCCACCACTGTTGCACTTACCAGCCATGAGCCCAGCTTCGCTGAGCGGTGCTTCCCCTGTGGGAGCTCCCTGACCACCGGGAGGCAGCTCTTGCATTGAACATCTGCCCCCTGGTGGTCAGTGCATGCCATAGCGACTGGTCATTCTGCTGTTCAGTCGATTTGCCTATTAGCCTTTTATTATGTAGGATTTGGACTCCATTGAGCTACTGCAGATTTTTTGACTGTTTAATTCGTATTCCTCACCTTAAGGGATCAGCTGATCCTTGAACAATGTAGGGGTTAGACCCCTCCCTCCCCCAAATCCTGCACAGTCAGAATGCGCATAAATCTTTGGATTCAGTTGGTTAGCACACATTTGTATGTAACATATACTGTATTCTTACAGTAAAGTAAGGTAGAGAAAAGAACATTTTATTAAGAAAACCATAAGGAAGAGAAAACAGTACAGTACTGTACGTCTTTAGTGAAAAAAGTCTGTATATAAGTTGCCCTCTGAAGTGCAAACTTGGTGTAGTTCAAGGGTCAACGGTATTTAATTGTTTTTCAGAAGGTACCAGATAAGTTTCAGTGCTTAGCATCGTCCCTTTTGGGGCTGAGGCTAAGAAGAGAGGCTGCATCTTGCCTCCAATGCTGGCCCCAATTTTCAGACAGCTCTGGTTCACCCAAAGTAGTCATCTCCTGAAGGAAGATGTATTCCAGGTTTTCTTACATAGAGTATTGAGAAAAGGCAGAGATTAATACAGTATTATCTCTGGGCGGGGGGAAGGGAGGGTCTAATACAATACGAATACTCCGAAGATTGTATAGGGGCAAAGTAGATGTTTCTGCTTCTGCCTTCCTCCCTCTGAGGTCAGAGGTGTTCCATGTTTTTCTCCAAGCTCCTGTAAGCACAGACACACAAAGGATGACTGGTTTGGCTCCCCCCTACCCCCTTACATGTTATTCTGCAACTTTTCCCTCTTGCCAGTACACCCTGGGTGTCACTCTGAACCAATAGATTCTATTCTAGTTACTAATAACTACATAAGACCCTAAATAATTTTTTATGCCAAGATTTCTTTGAACATAACTCTGTTATGGATATCCAGGGTGTTTGTTGAGCCTTATACATAACCCTTAAGATTCGTTGCTTTTATTTCCTGTGAAAGTTTCCCAAAAGTGGCATTGCTGAGTCAGAGAACGTGTTAATTATAGTGGGGAGGGGTTTGGGGTTGCAGAAGCTTTTTAAAACGTTGTTGGTTCCTGCCCTCTTACAGTCCAGTGGGAGAACAGATGATGTGCATTCTTTTCCTAGGGATTTATTTTTTTATTGCTCAGTAGATGGTGATGTTTTTCCCCCCAAGGAAAGTTTGAAATCCTTAACATTCTGAAATAGGTATAAATCAAGGGATCCTCTTTCATGAGGTGTACTGTGTAAACTGGGATTGTGAGGATTAAATGATGTAATGCGTGCAGATCACTGAGATGATTTTATAGCTGAAATGGTGACAGCTGATATAATGCTACTCCTGAAGGAAGACTCATTCCAAACTCTCCATTTATATAGAGCATTGAGGAAAGGCAGAGATGAAGCCATTTAAAGTTGGCTGTGCTCCTTAGCGATGGATTTGTCAGCAATTGTGCATGTTTACATTTTCCAGCTGTTAAGAGCTCAGTCCAACGTGGGAACTGAAGCACTTGACCTTTGCCCTCCTGTCCCTGCTCCTGTGCTCATACCCTGCAGGGCCGCAGGCGCCCCCCGGGCCTGGGAGCCATCCCACACGCAGCGTCTTGTCTCGGTGGCCCAGGCTTGCTCTGCCCCAGGCGGGGCAGCTGAGCAAATCCTCAGCTTGAGGTCAGCGAGGGTGACAGGAGTGGTCCTAGGCCAGTGGTCGGCAAACTCATTAGTCCACAGAGCCAAACACCAACAGTGCAACAATTGAAATTTCTTCTGAGAGCCACATTTTTTAAACTTAAACTTCTTCTAACGCCACTTCTTCAACATAGACTTGCCCAGGCCGTGGTATTTTGTGGAAGAGCCACACTCAAGGGGCCAAAGAGCCGCATGTGGCTCGCGAGCTGCAGTTGGCCGACCACGGTCCTAGGCTAACACAAGGGTTTTAAAAACAGTGAATGTATTGTCGTCGGGTGGACAGGCAATGCCATTTCTTCGTAACGTCGCTCAGAGCTGAGGGGTGCAACCTAAGTTTACCCACGTTTCCACCTAGGTAGTGTGTGTGTGTGTGTGTGTGTGTGTGTGTGTGTGTGTGTCTGCTAGGCAGGGGATGGAGAGGAGAAAGGACACATAAGCTGGCGTGGCTGTACGTGTGTGCATGAGTGCTTGTAGTCTGTCTACATGGAGGTGTCTGCATGTCCCATGACTCCCTGTTTGGAGGCTCTGCGTTCCCCCATCAGTCATTAGCATTTGGTTACTCCAGTTGGGATTAGGCAACCCTTTACAGCTGACACGAGTTTGTACCTGTCTTCATTCCTTCTCCCCTCTGAGTCAGAGCCTTGGTTCCGGAGGAGCGATTGCCCCGTAACATTTCGAACCCGCTCGGCTGTCCCCTGACTCACTGCCGCGGCCACATACCTGACACCCACCGGGCGCCCTGTCACGGCGCCCAGGCGGGGGGACCTGTACTTGCTTGCCTCGCGCTCCTGTTTTGTCTCCCGAACTTCAAAAACCCTCCGACTCTGGGCTCGGCGGAAAGCAGTCTTGATCCTTGTGCTGCTTTAGCAGGCGCTCGGTTTCCTTGCATTTCCTGCAGCACTGGGCGAAACGGCACCGATAATTCCAAGGGCAGCGAGAGCACACATGTGCAGGGTGCCAGCACGTGGGTATTCCTAACTCCCGGGGTCTTCCCGACAACGCTGGTGGCGGACCCTGTTATCGCCCCCGCGTTGTACCTGCAGAAAGTGAGGTGGCCTCGGAGCCTGTAGATTTCAGTAGATGGTGATGGTTTGTTTTGTTTTTTCCCCAGAGGAAAAAAAAAAACCTGCCTGGTTCTACCGCTGGGAAGTGGCCCCTGTGTGGAGGTGACCCCCCATCTGGGCGAGGCTGGCTGGTGGGGCTCGAGGAGCCTGGGAACCAGGGGAACTGAGCTCCAGGCCCGCAGGCCCAGGGCCGAGACTTGGCAGAGATGCTGGCTGTTGCTTACGTTGGGAGAGGAAGTGACACAGATGAGTCCTCTCCTCCCAGAACCCCGGACCTGGGAGGGCCGTGGAGGGAGCTCAGGCCCGGCAGGGCAGGAAGGAAACGGGGGAGGGAGGTGTGGAAACCGCTGGGAGGTCACTGGCAGCAGTGGGCTTTCACTGGGAGGGGAACGGAGAGCCCCTCTCTGCGGCCCTGTGGTCCCTCGGGGCGCGCATGGCAGGGGGGAGGGCCAAGCACACGTTAAAGGTGTGTTCGTCCGCAGAGTTCCTTCTGTTTTGACGAGTGAGTCACATGACCACGCTGGAAAGCCTCTTGGGCTGCCCTTGTGATCGGGCTTCTTGGAATGGGTTTGTGAAGAGGTTGCGTGCGACGTGCTGGGGTTGCCTCTCTGCAGCGCGGACGGGTGCTCTGGACGGAAAGCAGGCGTCCAGGTAGGAGGCATGGGGGGCGGGAGACGGGGTGCTGGGGCAGGGGCAGGGCTCCGGTTCGGTGCCAGGCCCTCTGGATCGGACATCCCAGGGCTGAAAACGGGTCGCCAGCCTCAGGGGCCATCCCTGCCGTATCTGAATGAGGTCCACCTCGGGCGGGCGAGCAGAGAGACCTCATAGAATGTGGGAGCTTGCTCTTGTCGGGTTAGTTTCCTCTCGCCAGGTTGTAGCGTCAGCTTCCATTCTGGATAGTGTGTGAGCCACGGTTCTTGGAGTCAGAACATGGGGTCAGATAATGTCCGTCCGTATTGTGGGGGGCTAGTTCTTAACCTCTGCAGCCCGGGTGCCCTGGTCTGTACCATGGGGGCATGGGGACTGACCGGAGGGCAGGAGGGCTATGGGAAGAACCGCTCCGCAGTGGCCTCGTCCTTGTACCGGCTCTGAACACGGAGGCGCTCCTTACCGCCTTCTCGGTGTCGGACACGGGGGGAGCGTGTGCTCCGGTTCCTGGCTTCGAGCGGCTCGGGCACCCCCGGACCCGCATCACTGAGGGTGCAGATGCGGATAGCAGAGAGAGCTGCAGTTGGGGAGGTGCGGCTCCTGCGGTCTCCAAGGAGGGAGCCCTCGGGGACAGGCATTCCTGGCAGGAGAGGCAGAGAAGGCTCACTCGGGAAGCAGGCCGGACGCAGGCATTCTGATAACGCTACCTGATGCCAGCGGGGCGGGGGAGACGCCCCTATCTGTGTCTGACTGACCGGCCTTTGCATGTTATCCAGCTCGTCCTTGTAGCTCCAGAAAGAAGTTTCCCCGCCCTCTTTTAAACATGGAGAGCTTACGCTGTCAGTTTGGTCCAGTTCAGTGGTCTGCAAACTCAGTGGCCAACAGAGCCAAATATCAACATTTAAATTTCTCTTGAGAGCCTGTCTCCCACCTTTAACAGTTGTCAGCATGCCCGATGTCGTACCCCTGACATTCCCCCGCCCCCCATTATTGTGGAGAAAAGTCCCAGACCACCTACTATTTTATTCGTAAATATTCAGTGTGCACTTTGATTGTCTTAGAGAAGATTCAGGAATATCAGAAATGGAAATGTTCGTATTTGAAGATCCTTCTGGTGGGAAGATCTTGCCTCTTTAGACAAGGCGGTCATCCTCAAAGCTGGGGGTGGGAAATGATATTATTAGAACAATCACCTGGGGGAGCCTACAAACCACTTGTCCCCTCAGAATTCGCTTCTGCATCCCCTAGTCCCCTCAGTGGGAGATCTCAGCCTTTGCTGCATTGTGGGGTTGGTTTGCTCCTGAGCGTTACAGCGGGAATAAAAGCCAGGGGACCACTGCTTGCGGGTAAAAGCGATTCCAGGCAATGGGAGCTTTACCTGGCAAGAACCAATTTGTTGTTATTTTTAACCACCATGGGTGGGGGCTGTTTAAAAAAAAAAAAAATATATATATATATATATATATATATATATATATATATATAAAATTTATTTATTTATTTATTTATTTATTTTATTTATTTATTTATTTTTGCCCTTTTAATCAGAATATGCTGGATATTACTTGTTTCCATTTGCTATAGGGAGTTTTTTGGACAGAGTCTGCCCTCCTGTGGAGTGCTTATTTTTATGTACTGAGTGGCCAGATTATTATGATCTCTGAACACATAATAATCTGGCCACTCAAGTGTATATCCTATATAATAAAAGGCTAATATGCAAATTGTCCCCTCCACTAGGAGTTCGACCAGCAGGCAGGCCGGCCAGCCGCCCATGTCCCCTCCCCCTTAGCCAGGCTGGTCGGACCCCACCCATGCATGAATTCATGCACCGGGCCTCTAAAATACACACACACACACACACACACACACACACACACACTGAGTGGCCAGATTATTATGCGTTCAGAGATCATAATAATCTGGCCACTCATGTAGTTTACCTGTCACCTGCCTCCTTGCCTTTTTTTTATCCTGAAAACATGCTTTTTCCTTGTCTCCTTGAAATCTGCGAAGGGCTACAGAACAAGGTCCAGAGCTTACAGGCACTCCCAGTGCACCGATCGTACGGGTGCTCTTGTTTCTGAGCACAGTGTGTGTTGTAGGAATGAAGAGCTTTGTGGTGGTGGACTGGCTGCTCAGCAGAGGTGTGGGTGCTGGTCCCCGGTCCCAGCGATCCTCAGTGTGGATGAGGCTGTTGTGTAGCCACCGTGCATGCAGGTGGGCCTGATGGGCGCGGGTTAGCAGGACTCTGACCTCTCACTCCAAAGCTAGCTGAAGGAGGTCTCCACAGGGCACGTGCGTGGGTAGCACGTGTTTCTGGACAAATTCCTCTCCATCTCACCACTGCCTTTTGAAAGTGAGTGAGGAGGCGAGAAATGAAGGAATTAAACAATGTGACCATTCTGCTTTTGTTGTTAAAAGGGAGGGCCTTGCATTTTACACCTTGCACAACACTCTTACTTGGCCAAAAAGAATTGGACGTGTGGATTTCATTTGGGTATTCCACAATAAAATGTATAGAAGAAACGAATAGTCTAATTTCCACCATACAAAACTGACTTCTGTCCTGCTCTTCTTTAAGGGGGAAATCAGAGAAGACATTTTCCCCTAAGCTTTTCTTTCCCAATCCACCCCACCCGACCCCACCCCACCCCACTCCACCCGTCTTTAAAATTCTCCTTCGGAAAATGACACAGTATTTTTTACAAAACCCAGCTGAGCTGTGCCCGGATTCATACACAGGATGGACGGGTTGCATCAGTCTTTCCTCTCTCACACCCAGACGAGGGTTGCATAGCTCTGTGAGGTGTGCTTGGGAGTTGTAAAAATATGGAATGCTGGAAAAATTCCAGAGTCTGTTGGTAAATATAGAACTCAGCTCAACAGCACTTAGCTTCTATCGGTGATTTTTCGAACTTGAGGGGGGGGAAAGGGCAGGTATCCATAACGTAGCACAGGAAATAAAAAGAACGTGTGATGACTACGTTTGAGATTTGGATTTTAGTGTCTCTTTCATTCCCCTGAAGACATCACAGATAATGAAGTCAAGAGGACTAGACTGCATTTGGTTGACAATATAAAAGATCCCTCTACTTCTCACCCATCGTATTCAGAGATTTATTAGGTCAGCCGAGTGGCTTTTTTCTGTATTATAAGAAAGCAGTCTTTGCGTTGTGTTGTTAACGTAGGGTTTTTTTTTTTGTTTGTTTTTGTTTTTGTGATATGTTTAGGGAAAGAAATGAGAGTACTGTAGAAGGTGCTGGAAATCCACAGCTGGGAGTTCCCGGTGAAGCTTCCACATGAGAGCTTTCTGGAAGCTGATTGGTTAGCAGTAGGCATTAGAAGTGACTGGTCTTTTCTAAATGTGTCTCCCACTGTAGCATGTACTGGAAAAGGCCTTTACCAGCGTGGTGCTTACAGAGCAAATGTCCCAACTAATTGCTTTCGGCAGTCTGGGCACATTATAACACCATGTTATAATGATCAGGTCGGTGGGTCCATTGTTTTTTGTGAAGAACTTCCCAAGGATATACTTAGAGAAAGAAGAGAGAGAGAGAGAGAGAGAGAGAGAGAGAGAGAGAGAGAGAGAGAGAGAGAGAGAGAGAGAGAGAGAAAAGAGGCGTTCTGTACACGCCCCTACATGGGATCCAATCCACAACCTAGGTGTGTTTCCCGACCAGGAATTGAACCGGCAACACTTCGGTGCACAGGTGGACAATGCTCAACCAACTGAGCTACTTGGGCTGGCTAGTTCCAGGTTTACAATGTTCCTGTGGGAAGCATGATCAGTCCCCGAGAACCACATGGGGACAGTGAGAAAGGCACCAGGAGCCAGGCTGTGTAACACAGGACTTGCTGGTAGACTTCATGTCGATTCTGTGATACGGTGGGGTATCAGAATCCTGGTCTCTCTGTCTTTCAAGGACGAAGCAGAGGAATTGGGCTTAAAAATACAGCAGGGAGCTGGCTTGTGCTTAAGGTAGAGCTATCCTCTCCTCGGGAGAGTTCAGAGGGGGGTGAGTGACAGGAGCTTAAGTACGCGAGGTCATTCATTAGACCCTTACAATGCTGAGACTGAAAGGGACTGGGCGGTCACCTCTGACCCCCTCGTTACAGGTCAGTGTCACACAGATCGTTTACCTGGGACACTTCGGGGTACCCCTTCCTGAGGGTAAGGAATGTCGTCAGTGAGAGCCTGGAAGTTCTTTCCAGAAGCCCAGCTCCGTGAGCACGCGGTTCTGGCTGTGCATGCCGTGAGCTTTTAATGGAGGTCAATGGGTGGGTCTTATCAGTGGAGGAAACGGCTTCCAGTTTTGAAGGAGTGCAGAGTCAAAAAGCAAAAACATACATCGGTTTTTGCTCTGCCCAGTAAGCATGAACATGACCGTGGGAGCTGAGCCAAGGTGATCTGAGGGAAGGAAGGATCAGAGGAGTCCACGGAGGAGGCAGGGCCGCTGAAAGGGAGCCGCAAGGCGTAGGTGTGGCTGGGATCTGCTTAGTGCCTGCGTGGAGGGTTGCCTTCCTTTTTTAACCTTTTGGTTGTGACACAGGGAAGCTAAAGGAAGAGCGCCATGAATGCCTGGACACTGACCACCTAGATATGACAGCTGTTCATGTTTTATCATATGTGTTTCAACTCTGAACTTTGTATGTCCTCATGTGCGTGTATTGTCTTTTAGCCACAGGCATCCTGCCATTACACCCCTCAGTGTATCCATTGGCAATGCCTAACTCCTAAATCTCTCCCTCTCTCTTTTCCCCCCCCTTTTTAAATTAAATGTATTGGGGTGACATTGTTTAATATGATGACACAGGTTTCCGGTGTGGGTTTCTATGTTACAAGATCCGTATGCTGCACTGTGTGCCCAGCCATCCCCTAAATCTCACTGACCTTTAGAAGGACTGGACCAGTTTTTTTCTTTCTTTCTTTGTTTAATAAATATAGGTATTTTATTGATTTTTTTTTTTTTTCCTGAGAGGAATAGAGGAGGATAGAGAGTTAGAAACATGGATGAGAGGGAAACATCAACCAGCTGCCTCCTGCACACCCCTACCAGGGATGTGCCTGCAGCCAAGGTACATGCCCTTGACCGGAATAGAACCTGGGACCTTTCAGTCCATAGGCCGACGCTCTTACCACTGAGCCAAACCGCTTAGGGCTGGAACAGTTTTCTTATAACCTTTTTGTTGCTACCTTACCAGGGAGGTTTCTTGCAAATTGAAGATGTGAAAAACTTAAAATAGTCAGATATTGTATAGGAGATATCTTGGCAGGTTGTCCGATGTCGTTCCTGATATGCCACTTTTTTCAGTATCTAATGCACTTTACTCTTTATTTGCAACCGTACGCTAAGGCAGCTATAAAATGTCAGAACAGTTTAGAAATCTACAAACAATAAAGCGGGAGTTCTATTTAATATCACCGCTGTGTCGTCCTGAGATAACAGTTCATCGCTTTGGTGAACTTACCTTCTTTCCCATGTCTGTGAGTTTTTTGTTGTTGTTTATGCATTATAAAGTCCGTGATCTTCGTGTACAGAGGATCACCGTTTTTATAATAAAAAAAACAAACAATCCTGTTGTTGTGCAGCTTACATTTTGCCCCACTCCCTGTGCGTTTTGGACGGAATCCCACAGCCTCGGTAGCGAGGGCTGTTGTTAACAGCGGCTGGGATCCATGTGCACCGAGCCGGCCGCATTCCTTCCTCAAGACGAGACACACCTCATTGTAAAGGGCCTGGCCCGGGATTAGCTCCGTGGCGTGTGCCCACAGAGCAAATATTTTCCTCCGTGCGCGGCTCCCCAGCTCACATAGGAACTGACTCTCAGTGTCCCAGGCCCCGTGTTTCAACACGTTGTGGGGAGTGCGTGCCTAGTAAACTCTTCAGGGCTCTGCATTTGAATTCTGGCTCTCATTTTACTTTCTATTTTATCTTATTTTATTTTTTTGGTCTTTTCTGGGCGGGTCCCTCCATCCTCCTTTCTGTAGTTATCAGGAGATCACCAGGCTGGCCTACCTTGGAAGTAAACATGCTCCTCTGCCAACATAAAGCGATTTAGAAATGTGAATCTGTTTCACCGAGTCACAGGCTCTCCTCGCGTGTATGTATCTTAAGCCACCATAAAACATATCCCTGTCATGCTGAGGAATGTGCCGAGGGCAGGCAGCAAAGACTGGCGGGGGGAGTGTGGGGAGTGCGCGTTGCTGTATTGTAGGTTTATGCCCTGACAGTCTCCGTGAGGCCTGGGGCACTGACACGGAGTGGTTGCTACATGTTGAAGCCGTTTCATTTATTTAGTTGTTTATTTTTCCCCCCCCTATGTTTTTACTGATTTTAGAGAGGTAGGGAGAGGGAGAGATAAAAACATCAATGATGAGAGAGAGAGAATCATCGCTTGGCTGCCTCCTGCACGCCCCCTACTGGGGATCGAGCCCACAACCTGGGCATGGGACCTCCTGGTTCGTGGCTTGATGCTCAAACACTGAGCCACACCAACGGGCCTGTTTTATAGATTAGTTCCAGAATTCCTGCAGGTAGTTATTCATCCTTGTTTATTCATGTGTCAGGGGGCTCAGAGGTAATTCTGTGGATGAAGGGTTTGAAGGCTGGCTCAAATGCCAGACGCAGGGAATCAGCTACCAGAGGGGATCATGGGAACAGGAGATGGTCCTGCAAGCTTGATGGAGAGCAGAAAGTTGGACAGAGGTGCTGTCTGGCCACCTCTGCTTCTTTGGAGGATCCGAGCTTCCCCGTGAGAGCGTTGCAGGCTCAGCCTTGGGGTGGTGGTTTTATTGTTGGGTTCTCCATGGCAATGATGTCATCACTGGCATTTGGTGGACCACCAGCATGTCATTTTTAGAAATCTCGTTTTTTAGTAAGTTTGGTTGGTCATTTGGTCCCAAGGCTTTTGCATCAAGCATTTTGTAAAAGAACCAAATGATGCTAGGGTGGTTCCCCAGATCTGACTGTCTAAATATTTGGTAAAAAAAAGGACATGAAAGAATTTTAAGCACATTAAAGAATTCATATATTAAACATGTTTTTTAAAAGTAGGAAGTTGCTGACTGTATCAATTGTGTATTTCCTCCATATTCTGTTATCCTTTCTCAGTAAATATTCAAGAAGATAAGTGATAAAATGTTAAAATAAAACCAAAGCAAATCATGTTACTGAAAGTAGAGAGGCAGTCTGAGATTTTAATTTCATCAGCAAATCTTCTAAATCAACAAAAACCTTGCTTTTTCTCTCTGCAAAACAAGTGCTAACATCCACATCACAGGGTTGTTCAGGGGGTTGAAATGAGATCATATATATTTAGACGTTAAAGAAACAGTGTTGATCCCACTCCGATTGCTCTCTTGAGCAGACAGGATTGTACGGTGAAAAAAGCATGTGAGTTGAGGTTGCATAGATATTGGGTGTGAATTCTTTGCCATGTACGAGTTCCTTTATTTAATCAATTAATTAGTTAATTCTCACCTGGGGATATACTTATTGATTTTCGAGAGAGACGGAGGGAGGGAGAGAGAAACAGCTTGGTTGCCTCCAGTACGCGCTCTGGGCAGTGATGGAAGCCACATCCTAGGGTATGTGCCCTGACTGGGGATGGAACCTGAAACCTTTTTGGTGCAGGGGATGAAGTTCCAACCAACGGAGCCACTGGCCAGTGCTCGGATGAGTTCCTTTATCTCCCCGAATCTCCATTCCTTCGGCTCTCACAGGAGTTTATCCTGTCGCCCTTGCGAGATAAGATAGGGTGCACGGGCTCTCCCCGGTGTCTCGCAGGTTCTGGAACCTGGATGTTTATCTGGGGGAAGAGGGTGTCTGTGCAGTGAAAAACGTGCCCCGTCCCCCACAGAGTCCCCTCCCCGAGTGACCTTGCTGCTTTTCTCTTTGCAGCGACCCCGCAGCGTGCCACCCCGGGCATGGACACCTTCTCCCGGGTCTGGAGGAGCACGGCTGGTAGCGCCATCGCCGGGTCCCCGGACTGCTAAGGCCATCCCAGGGGCGAGGGCGCCGGGCGAGGAGGGCGGCCTCCGAGGGCCAGAGCCACCATGCCTTTCGGCCTGAAGCTCCGCCGGACGCGGCGCTACAACGTCTTGAGCAAGAACTGCTTCGTCACCCGGATCCGCCTGCTGGACAGCAATGTCATCGAGTGCACGCTGTCGGTGGAGAGCACGGGGCAGGAGTGCCTGGAGGCTGTGGCCCAGAGGCTGGAGCTGCGGGAGGTAAGGGTGTGTGTGTGTGTGTGTGTGTGTGTGTGTGTGTGGCGGGTGCATGAGCGAGAACTCACCCAAGGGACCACCCCTCTGTCTGGGCACCTGCCTTGCCTTTCCACTTTTGGCAGATGTGTCTGCCTTCTATAATTTTCGTAACGCTGAGTACCCCTCGTACTCATGAGGACGTAGAATTAGGCGCAGCTAAGCACAGTGCAGGGCATATCCCCACCAAACTCTGGTGCAACGCGTACCCCCACCAAACTCTTCCCGTACCCCTGGGGGTATGCCGCGTACCACACTTTGGGAATCACCGGCTTAGAAGATGAACCCTGCTATATCAGCAGGGCCTTGATCTGACAGCCTTCCGGGGAGAGAAGCAAGAACACACCTGGAGCCTCCCCAGGGTGATGGCCTCCCTCTTGTTCCCACTGATGGGCCGGGGGTAGGGGGAGTTGGCAATGAGAGGCTCTCCTCGCCAACCTCATTTTCAGTCTGCTGAAGGGTGGAGCGGGCGGGTAGCCGGGGTGGCATTCCGGCTGCGCGTCCAGGCGACCATGCCCTCGGAGGGAGGGATGCGGCTGCTTTCCTTTTTTGCTCTTTCGTTTCTCTGTTTTCCTCTCCGAAGGGAAGGAAGAGGCAATAAGCGTTCAGAGTGAGTGTGAGCAGCGAGTTTTTTGGTGGGAGCCTGGCACATGGACTTAGGTTCCCATTAAGATTCCTCCTGACCCTCGTTTCCCTTTGTACCGTCTGTGAGACTTCTTTGGGCCTTAAGCAAACCCTGGGTTGACTCTATAGCCAGATATAGATGGCGTGGCTCTTAGGAGAACCTCTTACTGAGGGCAGCGTGTCCTGCTGAACAAGCAGGCCCTGCAGGTTCCAGTTTCTCAGACACTCCAGAGAGGAGACGTGGTGAGGAGGGCACACAGCATTTGTCTTGAGAACCACGGGTCACACCAGCTAGTGGGTGAGGGGATGGTTGAGAGGTTGCCAGAGTTGAAATGACTACAGCTCCTGAGAGTCAAGCCTTACTCTGAGGCCCTGGGACACCGTTGCCCAAGGCCTCAGGGTGTTGGAAGTGATCGATGGATGGTGTCTGACCCCCGCCCCTCATGACCCACCTTCTCTCCATGCGCATCTAGGATGTGGGGTCACTGAAGGTTGTCTTCTCCCCTTGGCGTCTTCCACAGGCGACTCTTCTGCCCCAGGGGCTGTTCTGCTGGAGCACTTCTGCCTCCTGCTGGCCTTCATGGTGATTCTCTGGCCTCAGAGGTCAGGTCTTCCTTCGGAATTTATTCTCCTGTGTAGGAGCTGTGTAGGAGCCCGTCCTGCCCAGCAGACATGCCTAGCTCTGTAGCTGACACACTGGAATAAACGTGCTCTGACCTTGTTAGTCAATGACTGGCTGGCACTCTCTACCCCCCCCCCCCCCCTCTTTTGCTTATTAGTAACCCATTTAGGTAGATTTATTTATTTATTTTTAAACATTTTTATTGATTTTAGAGAGGAAGGGAGAGAGAGATGGAAACATCAATGATGAGAAAGAATCATTGATCGGCTGCCTTCTGCATGACCTCCTACTGGGGATTGAGCTTGCAACCTAGATGTGGACCCTTGACTGCAATCGAACCTGGGACTCTTCAGTCTGCAGGCCGACGCTCTATCCACTAAGCCAAACCGGCTAGGGTTGGAAATATATATTTAAACGTAGGTATGTGCATGAATAAAAGGAAGAACCTTGATACTGTAGATCAGTTGGGCAGGAAGCTGGTCTAAATTCTTGGCAGACATTTAGTTACAGAGGTCATTTAAAAATGTATGCAGTGATTTTACTTTTGAGCATTCCCAGTAAGTCACATTAGAGTAAGTATTCTTCACACGCATTGGGAGGCACAGAGCATGTGGCTCAGGAATTACAGGTGCAGCCTTTGGAGTCTAGGACTTGAGTTCAACTTACAGGTCTGTCGCTTTTTAGTTAGAAAACCTTGAAAAAGTGACTTCACTTCTGGAATAATGACCCTCCCTTTATTTAGAGCTGTTGTCCATATTAAAAGAGATACAGTATGGGAAATGTGTGGTGCTGTCTCTAATAATATAGCAACATGTGGTTGTTCCAATTGGAGAGTCTTTTTCAATGAGGAAAATCTTGAGCAACTGCAGTGCATCAGACATTGCTGTTCAGATGTGCACAGACTGCCCAGCTGGTGTGGCTCAGTGGTTGAGCACTGACCTATGAACCAGGTGGTCACGGTTTGATTTCTGGACAGGGCACATGCTCGGGTTTCAGGCTCCATCGCCAATAGGGGGCGTGCAGGAGGCAGTCAATCAGTGATTCTCATCATTGATGTTTCTGTTTCTCTCTTCCTCTCCCTTCTTGTCTGAAATCAATAAAAAAAAATATTAAAAAAAAATAGATGTGCAAAGACTAGTAGGGGAGCCCCACATTTAAATATATATTTTTTATTGATTTTTTACAGAGAAGAAGAGAGAGGGATATAGAGTTAGAAACATCGATGAGAGAGAGTCATCGACCAGCTGCCTCTTGCACACCCCCTACTGGGGATGTGCCCGCAACCAAGGTACATGCCCTTGACCGGAATCGAACCTGGGACCTTTCAGTCCGCAGGCTGACGCTCTGTCCACTGAGCCAAACCGGTTTCAGCAGGGGGAGCCCCACATCTAGACGAACAGCTGAGAATGGACCCACGCTGAGATGGGTGCCCTCCTGCCCTCATCCATGCCCTCCTGCCCCACCGAACCCCGAAGCCCTGGCAGCGAGAGGAAGCCTCAGGGAGAGAAGGAGCCTTCCCTCTTTGCTCGGGGACCAGAAAGACGCAGAGGAGAGCAGCAGGTGGAAGAGAAGGCGAGGTTCCCCTGGGCGTGGGGGCCTGGGTGTTTGCAGATCCAGGGATGTGAAGCAGCAGCACATTCCTGGGGTCTGAGAAGCCACCCCTGCCAATCACCAGGCAGAGCTATGGTGTGAGGCGCAAGGTGAGGCGTGTCTGGAGACGCGTAGGGTTAGTCATTACTCTCCGCAAACCATTGTTTCTGGCAGCGAGAGGGCAAAGGTCAAGCCCGGATTACCCCACCGCGGTGCTGTCACAAAGGCTAACGCGGGGAAGTCACATGCTGCTGTCAGGTGTGGGTGGCAGGGTGACTGATCTCCTAATGCTCAGGTGTGGTGCGCGCTCCACGCTGGCTTTATTTTGACGCATCCGCATTAGACCACATCACTTTCTTTCCTGATGGCCTGCTTTCGTTCTGCGCCAGATGGCGTCTGAGGTATGTATGGCCTTTTGTGGAACAGTCCGGCAGCTACCTCTGAGAATCACGGTGCGCTAGAGCAGCCCGGGACTGTGTCCTCCTTCGGTGCATCCGCATCGGGAGGAGGAATGCACGCTCCACTCCGAAGCCGGAGTCGGAGGGGTGACCGGGGTCTGTTCCACTCACTTGACTTTGGATTGGGGTCCGTTTCCAAAGAGAGCCTTCGGCGCGTCAGAGGAGAAAGTGGGCGTCCCTCTGAAACAGAACAACACGTTTGGTCTCGGTGAGGCCTGGGAACCCGATACGGGCGGATGTTTTGTTCTGCCATGAGAAAGTGCCCTGTGGTTTAGGTGAATCCTAAACTTTACAACCGCTTTATATCAGGAAAGGAAAATTCATTTTGATTTGAGTTTAGATCTGCCTTAATTATAATTTGTGTTTTACCATTTAATTTTAGTAGATTTTTTTTTTAAAGCAGTTTTAGGTCTATAACAAAATTGGGTGGAAAGCAGAGTTCCATGTACCACCTGCCCCCACCTGCCCTCCTATTCTCCTCCGCCATCAACATCCCGAGTCACAGGAAGCATTTGTTACAATCGGTGAATCCATGTTAACACAGCCTTGTCCCTCAAAGTCCACAGTTTACATTAGGCGAGGGAGGAAGAGAGAGAGAGAGAGAGAGAGAGAGAGAGAGAGGGAGAGAGAGAGAGAGAGACTGACTGTTGTTTTTGGTTCTACTTATATTCATGGTTGATGCTTGTATGTGCCCTAACCTGGGATCAAACCTGCAACCTTGGTGTATTGGGATGATGCTCTAACCAACTGGGCCCATTAGGGTTCCCTCTTGTGGTTGTGTTTTGACAAATGTGTAATGATGTGTGTCCTCGCGGGAAGCTTTTTGAGGGTCAAGACTGGTTCTGCATGCACGGATGTGCTGCCCTGTCCAATGGCACCCAGATGGCCCTGGCCCGGTTCCCAGGTCAGCACATACAGTCCCGCCCTGAGAAGCTGAAAGCTGAGTAGAATAGGGCCCCTGCCCCCAGAAACCCCAGCGTTTAGAGAACAGGACAAACAAGCAGCGAAGCGCAGGGAACAGTCCGTACTGAGGTCCAGAAACAGGAAAGCCCATGGAATTGTCAGGGAAGGGCAGAGTTCAGGTTGCAGCGATCCGTCTGTGTGAGTGCGCGTGGAGGGGGTCATGGCAGGGAGCACAGGAGTGTGGAAGGGCTGGCGGGAGTCGGCTTGTGAAGGGTCAGATGTATCTGGGTAGGGAATTTTGGCCAGATCCTGTAGGAGATCGTTTCCAAAACGTGTCACCAAAATATGAAAACAACCGCCAGCTTTTAACGTGCTACCTGTTGTGCTGAGCACCTTCCACGTGTCACCTCATTTAATTCTCAGAACAAGCCTGGGAGGTGGCTCTCCTGCTGTCCCCGGTTTACGGATGCGGGACCACAGTTCAGGGTGCCCTGCCCCTCGCTGGGCTGGCTCACACCCAGGCAGGCTGCTCCACCATCCTACTTCCCAGGGATGTGTTGTAGCAGAAGAGGGGTCATGGTACATGCTATGGGAAACGCCCTTATAAGTTTTATCGGTTAGGAGTTTATAAAGATAGGGAATCTTAGCATGCATTTCATATCATCAAAGAAAAGCTAACTAACTTTAAGGGTATTTCCGTGGTTTGCTTTTATGCTAATGTTTTCAGAATTGGCCGCCGTGATGATGGGAGTATTTGCTTGATTCAGGGG